TGCGGTTCTCGCCTTAGCGCTTGCCGCATACATGTTTATCAAACAAGTATTAATGGCGTCGCGGATTCCCACGATCGACGTACTAGGAGCGATGGTTTGGAAGGGTTCACGATCATGAGGGCGCAACAGTCATGATGCTTCGCGGTGTTGAAGTCCCAGGAATGGCGATCTGGCACGATATCAGGATCGTCAAGACGCAACAGTCAGGTTTATCCGTGACGTTGGAATACCGAGAACCATATTTTGGCATGCTTCAGGGTCTTCGATCGATTGTCTTCCAACGGGGCAGGTCCACCTGTGGAAATGAACCTTTGTAGGGGCCTATGAAGAGGGATCTTGGGGGAAGGGTTCATTCCAACATCGTTGGTGACTCTGGGTTTTACATTGGTCCTCTTCTTCCTCCTCCTCCTCCTCCTTTTCCTTCTCTTCCTCCTCCGCCTCCTCGTCCCCCTCGTCCTCCTAGTCCTCCTCCTCCTCTTCTCCTCCTCTTCTCCTCCTCCTCCTCCTCCTCCTCCTCCTCCTCCTCTTCCTCCTCCCCCTCCTCCTCCTCCTCCTCCTTCTCGTAGTCCTCCTAATCCTACTCCTCCTCCTCATCATCCTCCTCCTCCTCATCTTCCTCCTCCTCCTCCCCTTCCTCTTCCTGTTCCTCCTCCTCCTATTCCTCCTCCTTTTCCTCCTTCTCCTCCTCCGCGTCCTCCTTCTCCTTCTCCTCCTTATCCTCCTTCTCCTCCTCCTCCTCATCCTCCTCCTCTTCCTGCTTCTCCTCCTTCTCCTCCTCCTCCTCCTCCTCCTCCTCCTCCGCCTTCTCCTCCTCCTCCTCGTCCTCCTCCTCCATCCTCCTCCTCCTTCTCCTTCTCCTCCCCCCCCCAGTCCGAGCACGGCGTTTCAGGGGCGGCCTGCGCTACAAGACTAACATTATCTCGCGCCGCGTTCCCTCCCCCCGCGGAGTGGCTGCTCGCGGCGTTGCCCTGGAGTTCCATGAGTCGTCCACCGGAACGCCCAGAACGCCAGCACCACCGAGCGGCTGTGAGATATTTCTGCTGAGCTTCGCTATGTTGCTCTGATTCGTTTGAGTGGCACGGGAGGGCGTGGCGAGCTCGACGCTGCGAGATCCGTGTTGCCCTTCCACGCGGTGCCGCAGTCAGGCTGAAGTCCTGGCCCTCACACGAGCAAGAGATGCGGTTGCACGGTGCTCGTTCGCAAGAGCATCCTTTGGCGTCCGCACATCGTGGACACGCCGCCCGTGCCGAAGGCGCCGGGAGGAGAGTGCGGAGTGGCCGCTACGACATCTTCGTGCCCATGGCCCACATCCCGCCCAACCTTCCAGTCGGAGGCAAGCCGTGGAGTCGGTGGTGGCGGGCACGACGCACTACCAGTACCGCGCCACAGTGGACCTGCTTTGCGAGTGGTTCGAGAAGACGCTCCCGCGGCACGTGGGCGCCACGCCATCTTCTTCGTTTTCGAGTTGAACGACGGACTCGGGCTCCGCCATCGCGGCAAGCAGGCGTTCGAGGAGATCTCGTCGGAGGTGTTGGGCCCGCACGGCCGCCAAGTCCAGCACGATGCGTCGGAAAATGGTTTCGAGCTGCTCGAGCGTTTCGCGATGGGGGAGGTCACCAGCGAATTTGACCCTGGCCCGACGTCCCACGTTGCGCGTTGCCCGACGCACCTCAATTGCGTTGCCATATTCTCGTGGAAGTCGCCTCCCGCGCGCCACAGCAACACGCTCATGAGCGCCAATTTGAGGCTGGAGCTCGCACCGCAACCGCGGCTTCAGGATCACGCGCCGATCTTGGTAGACATCATCTGCACGCTGCAGGTTCGCGCCACCGCGTCGCCGAGGATTGCGCGGGACTTCAGCCGGGCGTCGCGGCCCTAGCGCCATCTGGAGGCGCCGTTGTCGAAGCGCCCAGAGGATTTCCACGAGCTGCACGACGCAGAAGCGCGCGACGGCGCGCGGGGGCGCTGGATGGCGCAGATCCCATCGATTGCACAGCGGCACTTCACTGGCAAGGCTGCCCTTCATCCTCGGCTTCAGCGGGGCCGCGAGGAGCGCCTTCGGCGCCTCCGCGAACGCCGCCAGCTTCGCGCGGAGGGCGGCGACCCTGTTGAGCTGCTCCGGCATTGGCGAGGGCGTCTCGGCGGCGTCGCGCGCAGCGCCGCGCGCAGGAGGCCGAGGGGATCCGTCTGCCGGTTGCCGACGTGGGCGACGCGCGGGGCAGAAGCGGCACGTCGCAGAGGCACGGCGCCCAGGCCGCCCGCCCGCCGCCCAGCGCGCGGGCCCGCGCAGGAGGCGCCGCTGCGCGGGCGGCGCGCCCCACGGCGCGCCGAGATCGCCCAGCACCTCGCGCGGGCCAGCGCAGCTGCAGGGCCCGGCGCGGTCCCGAGCGACTGCGACGAGCGCCCGCCGGCAGCGCCTGCGGGCGCCCCCCCGCGCGGCCACGTGCGACCGCGACCGCCTCGAGCTCATCGGGGGGACTGCGAGGGCGCGGCGCAGGTCATCCTGGAGGCCCCTCGGCGTCGACCCCCCCCCCCCGCCCGCGTCGCACCCGCCGAAGAACTGCGTCTCGCTCCTCGGCCCCGGCCCCGCCGCGACGGCCGTCGGCGGCGTCGCCCTCGGCGGCCCGAGGGCGGAAAAGCAGAGGAGCAGAGGGCGGCGCGTTCGCAAAGGGGGGGATTTGATCTTCGCCCCCGCGCCACTCGGCATCGCCCGCGCCCGCGCCCCAGACGAACTTCGGCCCCGCGGCGTCGCCCGGCGGGGGGTCGGCGAGGCCTCGGGCAGGGGGCCGCGGAGCTCGACGCGGCCGTCGCCGCGCGCGCGCCGGAGAGCATCATTGCTCGCGCGCGGCGCGCGCAGCGCGCCGTTGATCAGGCGCCGCTCCGCCGCTGATCAGGCGCCACTCCGCCGCCGCGGGGTTTGACAGAGGCGGCGGGGGGCGCGAGTGTCAGGCCGGGCGCTGCATCCACAGGCCGCGTCGGACGCGCGCGCCGCGGCTCGAGTTTAAACCACTTCGAGCCCCGCGCGACCCCCCTCCCCCCTGCACGTGAGCGCGGCTGCCAGCAAAGCAAGGGCGCAATATGGAAGGAACTCTTCGGCGCCGAGAGGGGCCCCTCCGGCGGCTTCGCCGGCTCGGCGCCCCCCGCCGCCAAGGAGGACATGAGCGACGCCTCCGGCCCCTCCCGCCCCAGCGCCTTGCGCCGGACCATCGAGGTAGCGGCGTGCCCCGAGGAGCATTTGCGCCGGCGGCGCGAGCTCAGTACCTTCCGCGCGGCCGGGGCCGACAGCGACGAGGACCTCTGCAATCGCCGCGGGGTCTTCGCGGGCGACGCGCCCGCAGCGCTGCTCTTCGCGGACACTTCCGCGAGCCGATCCCTGCGCGGCCGCGCCGTTTACGCGCTGCCGCCCGGGCGACCGACCTGCGACGCGCCCGAGCCGCCGACAACCCATGTCGAGAGGCAGCGACAGGCGCTGCGCGCTACCACCCGCGCCTCGGGCCGACCACGCCACTGCGATCTGGCCGAGCGACGTCCGCCGCGCTGCGCGGCCCCCGCTGTTCGGCACGACGGTGGTGGGCTCAGGCGCGAAGGTCTACGCAGACGACGTCAGCCGCGCGAGCGCGACCACCTCCGCGCTCGACGCAGGTTTCACTTCTCGGCACTCGCACTACGAGCAGAGTCGCTGATGCCCCACGGCCACGCACAAATAACTACTCCAAGAGCTCGGCCTCGCCGCGCCCCCCCCAGGCGTCTCCGCCTCCACATGCGCCGCGGCGCTGAGAGCTGCTGGGCACCGAGGGGCCCCCGCGCGGACGGGAGTTCGCGACGCGTCCGCATCGGAGGCATCAACAATAATGTTTGTCACGGGTGCCGTTCGACCCTCCGTTCCATCATCGTCACCTACTACTGGGTGTACTGTGCTTGCGTGCCAGCGCGTTTCACATCCGCCCGATCACCCAGGAGCACCCCGTCGACGCCTGCTTGTCTCGGAAAGTGCCCCGTCCAGAGGCCCCCGTACCATCGCGACATCATAGAGCACCGTGTCCTCGTCTGTCCTTGGCCTCGATCAGGATGTCCGCCGTGTCCAACCCCAGACATCCGGCGTCTCGATTATTTGACGACGCGGGCCCGACCTGTCGACCACTTCCCTGGGGCCGGTTTTTCATCCGAATCGATGTTTGGATGTCTGGGACTGTTTGGCGCCCGACTTCGTCTGCTCGGCGGGGGAACCCCTTCGAGTCCCTGGGGGCCCTGCAGGCGCACTGGCTGGAGAAGCGCGCCCCCGAAAGCCCCGCCGCCACGGTCGTGGCATCTCCTCGAGCGCCGCCCACGGCGACGGCCTTCCCCGCCCGGCGTGACCAGGCGCGCTGCAGGAAGCGAGGGGTCGCTCGAGGTCCCACGGCCGTCGCGCCACGGAACCCTGGCCAGAACGCAGACACAGACACACACACACACACACACACACCAGACCCCGTCGGGGTCATACAATATGCGTGGCGGCAGGTTTTTCGCTATGTTCGGCCTCTGGGGGCCCTCAGCGGGCCTCGAGACTGCCAAAAAAAAACTCAGGACGAAAAGCCGGTCCCGGGAAGTGGGTCCAGGCCGCTTGGGGCCCACGCCATGAAACAAATCATGACATGGGGGGGGGTCAGGGACCGGAGAGACCACGTTGTGTTCCGATGCGCGTTCCTCCACTTCCCTCAAGCAGTGGCGAAGCGTTTTAACTCGCCTGTAGCCCTACCAAACAATGTTCTAAGAACCTTTTGTGGTTCCCAAAAATGTGATTAGAACATTTCTGGCGGGGTCTGTTCTGTTTTATACATAAGTCTGACGTTCTAAGAACACTGTTTTGTTCTTAGAAGATTTTTGGGTTCTTAGAAGATTTCGTGGTAGGACTATAGGAATGCCGGGACGGTCGGTCCCTGCTCAATTCCCAATCTTCATCATCCGCGCCCAGGCCACTTCCCCCAGCCGCCGCGCGCGTCTTCCCCGCGGCCACCGCCATGCGGCGCCTCCTGGAGCTGCTGCTGGCGGCGGCGGCCTGCTCCGCGGCGGGCGACGAGGTCTGCGCCAGCGCCGAGAGCTGCGTCGAGGGCACGGACGCCGCCGGGGTTCCACCCGTTCCCAGACCCCCAGCGCCACGGCTTCCTCACAACGCTCACGCCCAGACGTCTCGACCTTCGTTTTTCAGCGAGCGCCGCAGAGAAGCGGGGTCGTCTTCGCCGACGGCGGCGCGCAAGCTGACCCAGAAAGGTCGAGTGAGCGCCATCGTTTTCAGTGTGGCGTTCCGCGCTGGCGGCCTGCGTCAGCCACCGCGTAAGGTCGCTGCGTCGTCTCGCGTCAAATTATTGGTTTTTCGGCGTTCGATTATGGGCCCCCTGTTAAAAGAAAGCATCCACCTTTCACGCCGAAGACCGCGGGAAATCACCGAAGACTGCCGCGAGACCGTCGAATTCCGCCCGAGGCAGATGGGTAACAAGGGGTCCAAGGTCGAATGCGTAGCTTTCCAGGGGCCGACGTTTCACTCCGCGTCGTGTCGTGGCGATCCCGGGGCCCGTCGCGAGGGCCCCAGGAGGTCGGGAGTAGCGGCAACGAAAACCAGCAATGCCCGTCGTGATTGTTTCATTGTGCTAGGGCTGAGCGACATGGTAGAATGACGCGGGGAGAAGAGGCGCGCAGGGGAGGAGGGAGGAGGGGGAGGAGGAAAAAGAGGGAAGGAGGGGCGCGGGGCGCTGCCTCTTCACAGCGAGGGCCCAGCTCCACGGGATGGTTGGGAGCAGTGCCCCCGGAGGCCGGAAGCAGCGGCAGCGAAGAGCGGCACTATGCCGGTCGTGATGGCTTCGTGGCGCGAGGGGGTCTGGGCTGTGCGGGTGCTGCCGTACGGGGCGGTGGCGGGCCCCAGATTCCCCGCCCCGCACTACGCCCAGGAGCGGCGACCACAGAGGGGGTGCTCAGCGCCGGGGTGTGGCTTGCGATCGGCGCTGTTGGGGCCTGGGTGGCGCGGCGCTGTCCCCGTCGGGCCTCCTCGGGGCGCGGCGGAGAGCTCTGTCGATGCCCCCGCCCGCCCCCTTGGGGGTGCTCCCCAGGGCGCCGGTTGCAAACCACACCCTTTGCAAACCATACTTACCAGCCTGGAACATGTCCCTGTCCCTATGCTGGGCACCTCCTCATCACGATGCCAATCTTAGGGATTCCCTTGTTTTTGGAGGGCGAATCCCTAAGATTGTCATCGCCTTTTGGCGTGTCGATCTTAGGGATAGGGATACGTTCGAGGCTGGTAACATACCCCTCGGAGTCGCCGACAGGAGGCCGGGCGCCTGGCGGGCGGGGACCTGCGCGTGGAGCTCCTGAGCGTGGGGCAGGCGGCGCGCGTGTGCGTCCAGCTCGGGCCCGAGTGCAGGGGCTTCACCTTCGCCGGCGCGCCGCGCGAGGACCTGATCGGCGCGTTCAAGGCTCTGGTCCCAGACCCCCTCGAGTAATGAAAAAATCATGACGGAAGGTTTTCCTTCATTTTCGGCCTCCGGGGGCCCTCACCGGGCCTCGGGAGCGTCAAAAAACGACTCAGGATGCAAAGCCGGTCATGGGGAAAGGGTCGGGACCTCTGGGGGTCGACGTAATGAAAAAAACATTACGTCGGGGGTCTGGGGTTTACCCAGGAGGAGGTCCAGCGATAAGGGGGTGGTGCAATAGGTTATTGGGGTTGCAAGAGATTTGGGGCGTGCGCGACATTCCAGGGCGCAGATGTATTGCTGGGCTCTCGTGTGCAATAGCTGCGGTGCAACACCTTGCCATACAATTCTCTGGCGCAGGTTACATTTGCATTGCCCCAAACCTACTGCACCACTCCCTATCAGCTGGGCCCCCTTTTCGATCAAGCGAAAAGGTCCACTTCAAGGGCGGGTCCGGGCTCCTCCGGTTCCGGGCCGAAGACGGCTCCGACAAGTGGACCTCCTTCCGCCGCCAGCAGCTGCCGCCGCTCAAGTGCCCACTGTTGATCTGGACGCCCGAAATGGGCACGAAAGAATGGATACGATGCCCAACAGCAGTTCCTGTTCACTTTGAACAGGATTCGCTGCCCGCGCCGCCGCGGCCTGCCATTCGAGACAGAAGACCGCCTGCCCAACAGCAGCCGCTGTTGGTTTGGGACAACATTTGTTGTTGGGCATTGTACCCATTCTTTCGGTACCCATTGCAGGTGTCCAAAGTTGATGTGGGCGCGGCCAGGAGGAGGGTGGCCCTGAGGTCCGGCGTCTCGAAGAAATAGAGACGTCGTGAGAAATCACGACTGGAGCCCTAGACTCAAGCAGTGGCGAAGCGTCCTGGCTCGCCTATAGCCCTACCAAACAATGTTTTGAGAACTTGTTCGTGGTTTCCACGAAATGTTCTTAGAACATGCCTGGCGGAGTCTGTCTTGTTTTATCACATCGGGTGTATGGTCTAAGAACAGTGTTCTTGTTCTTAGAGCATTCTTGGGTTCTAAGAACATTTCGTGGTATGACTATAGGAATGCCGGGACGGCCGGCCCCTGCTCAATAGACCCCATCATTTTCTTTGGGTGGAGGGCAAAGGGTGAAATCTGAAATGCTGTTTCGATTGATTTTCGAGCCTTGATCTGCAAAAAAGGCGAGCAACAGAACGGATTGATTTCGAGGTGCAAAAGCCCATGTGGATTTCACCCTTAGCCCTCCACCCTCAGAAAAGGCTCAGGGAGGAGGGTGGCCCTGAGGTCCGGCGTCTCGAAGAAGTGGAGGCGTCGTGAGAAATCCCGACCACGGAGCCCTAGACCCCATGTTTCTGCGCAAGCTCTCGAGGCGGATCGATCCGTGAGGATCCGGGGGCCCGAGTCAGGGCGAAGGCGCCCAGCGCGAACGAGGAGGATCTCGGGGGGTGACTCATCGGGGGGGCGGGCATCGTGGCCGGGGCCGTGATCTCGCACACTGGATGTCGCGGCCCCGTCTTCCTCCCTCCTCCCTCCTCCCTCCTCCCTCCTCCCTCCTCCCTCCTCCTCCTCCTCCTTCTCCTCCCTCCCTCCCTCCCTCCCTCCCTCCCTCCTCCTCCTCCTCCTCCTCCTCCTCCTCCTCCTCCTCCTCCTCCTCCTTCTGCGATTAGGATTCGTGTTCATATCCTCTTCTTTCTTCCAACACGTCCCCGGGCCTTACACCCTCGTCCGCGCACGTGCTCGGGAGGGAACCAAAGCACACAGACACCATGGATCGCCGACTCCCCGGAAAATATGGGAAAATATGGGAAGCGGGGTGGGAGACGAAAATCCAGAGAATGTTCGTCACCGTATCCATGATCAGGGCATTCCCTGGGATCCTCGCCGCCAGCGGCACGGCGACCGCTACACCGCGAGCGGCGCTGCTGAGCGCTGCTTCGGCGCCGAACTGGCGGGGCGGCGGCTCTGCCATGTGGTGCAGCCCGCACTGCGACACCTGGGGGCACGGGTGGGGGAAGAAGAAGAACTCAGCGGCGGAAGCTTGCCGCTCGATCGCGCCGCGCCTGAGCAGACAGCTGCGCGGCGCGCGGGTGCAGAGGGGAGGAGGGAGCCAACCGGAGAGTCAGAGAGACACCAGCAGAATCCTGGGGTCTGTGTGTGTTTGTTTGTGTGTCCCTGGGCCCCCTCACACGCCTCGGGCCACGGTCTGCGCCCCCCCCCCCTGCTTCCCAGAGATCCGGCGTCGTGATTTCTTCCATACGCGGTCTCCGGGAGTCTCGACCCACTCCCCAGGACCGGTTTTTCACCCCGCATCGTTTCTCGGCGGTCCCGAGGCCCGGCGAGGGCCCCTATGGGGGCCGAAATCTGAGAAGCACCTCCGCCCTGATGTTTTCGCTATGCATGCTCTGGGTCGGCGGCCCCCTCCTGGGGCGCCCCCGACGGATCCTGCACCACCTCTTCAAGGCGGGAGGCAACGCCGCCCGGGCCCTGCTCGGCTCGGGCCGGACGAAAGGGGGGGATTGGGAAAGGGGGGGTTACGAAATCTGCTGCATGCAGCTGGTTTCGGCCCCACCGAGGGGCCCATTCCTCGATGCATGGCCGCCTCCGGCGCCGGGAGGCGCTGGGAAAATCAGCTTCGTGAGCTGATTCTCAAAGCCCCCCTTTGCTATCCCTCCCTTTCGCCCGGCCCGATCGGCCGCCTCGGCCTGCACTCGGACGCGATGCCCCCGGGCGCCGAGGTCGCCGTGACCCCCGCGGGCGAGGGCGCCGTGGCCATCGGTGCCCACACCGACCTGGGGGACGGCGGCGACCTGCCGGCCTTCCGGGTGGGCATGGTCCTGCGAGATCCAGGGGGGGAAAAAACACACAGACACAATTAATCCCAGACCCCCGACGTAATGATTTTTTCATGACGTCGACCCCCAGAGGTCCCGACCCTTTCCCCAGGACCGGCTTTGCATCCTGAGTCGTTTTTTGACGTTCCCGAGGCCCGGTGAGGGCCCCCCGAGGCCGAAAATTGGGGAAAACCTCCCGTCGTGATTTTTTCACTACTTGAGGGGGTCTGGGATCGTCGATTCCGAAGAAAATATAGGAAAATATGGGAATTGGGGGGGAGGACAAAAGCCCCGAAAACATGCGAAAATGCGCGACCTGCCTTCCGGGTGGGCATGGTCCTCCGGCCGAGATTTCGGGGGCGGAAGAGAGGGGGGTGATGACTACCCTGACCTTCCAGGCGGTGATGACTACCCTGACCTTCTTGGTTTTAGGCTGTTTCGTGTAGTTGTTTAGGTTTTCAGGTCTCCAGTGCTGAAGAATAGCTCTCTGGAAGGTCAGGGTAGGGGGGGGTGGATATCATGGCGTGGGCCATGATAGTTCCCCAGATTTCATGGCGCCTCTTCTTATTTCATGACGTCCCTGGCCCCCCCGCTGGGCCGCGCACATGCCACCGATCATGATTTGCACCCCCCCCTCTTGGACACCCCCCTCTTGGCCGCTCCCGAAGATTGCGGGCGCAAAAGACCCAGGGATCCGACGCAGTGAAAAAATCAAGACGGAGGCGTTTCGCAAAAAAATCGGGCCCTATGGGGGCCCTCGCCGGGCCTCGGGAGCGTCAAAAAACGGCTCAGGATGGAAAACTGGTCCTGGGGAATGGGTCGAGACTTCTGGGGACCGCCTATTGAAGAAATCACGACACTGGATCTCTGGGGACAGGGTTAGACAGGGTTATGATCGGAAACCGGAGCCTATACGTTACCAGTGGCGGGCCGTCTTCCAGTCCCATGACCTTTTGAGGGTCGGGGGCGGCGTCGGGGTGGTGTAGTGTATACTTGTTCCCCCGTTTGCCCAGGAAACATTGGAAAATGCTTACACCAGGGACCCATATACACCAGGCTCCGCTTTCTTGCGCAAAGGTCCGTGCATGGCCGCACAAAACGTAGGTGTATAGAGCGCGGTTCCCTATATGATGTTCCAACCTGCTAGAGCCTTGATCATTAGAGAGAATTTCGAGCACCAAGAGAGTTTCGAAACTGAAAAGTTGTCACGTGTCGGGCCCTGGGAGGCGGTATTCGTTCGACATTGTTTCGATACTGTTCGGGGTGCTCGAAATCATTTCTGGGATGTGGTCCTCAAGTACGATGGGAGCAGGATCCTGCAGGGCCAGGGTTGCACTGACCCGTGCTTAAGGTGCAGGGTCCTGCAGGAGCCTTCAGGGCCCGACTGAACCGGGTTTGTATTGGCCTGGGTCGGTAGATCACCGACGAGACACGGGCGTGGCAGCTTGGTGCACTGGGCTCAAGTCGGACACGTTCATCTACAGGAGGAAGGTTCAAGAATATTCAAAAGTAATTAGTCTGGGGACGATCTTTCGTGCTCTTTGGGCTATTTCTGACTCTTCGAAAACCTGCCTGTAGGAGGACATGTCGACCTGACTCTTGGCGGCCCTGAGACGCCCATTGTGGAACGCAGCACGCGCCGTGTCCAAAACGCACAGGGTCGAGGCGTTACGTTTCGGTTCCATGTGGGCCTACGTTTTGGCGAGCGTATGCGGCCAGGCAAACATTTTGAATGGACGTGTTGAGCCGCGTGTCAACACGCTCCGGCTTGCGTGTTGCATATCATGGCAGCCAAGACTAGACGTTTTCGTTTGGTTTCTGGCTCGGGACCATCACAGGTCGATCCGACCGAGTAAAAAACAATGCCGCAGACAGGTGGGGTCTAAGAGTTCTGGTCCTGATGTGTCGCGTTGTTGGCTTTTTGTCTGCAACGCCCGACCTCAAGGTCCGCAGCCCGTGCGACTACCTGCTGAGCGTCTGGTCCTACCAGCGGGTCCCAGTCCAGCAGCGGGCCAGGCATCAGCGTGGGATCGGAGGACCAAGGTGCGCGCACTCGGAGGACGTCTGCAGGTGCATCGAGCTGCACCGGCCGGCGGGGTCCGCGGCGGAGGACTTCCTGCCGGCGTTTCGGCCTGGCAGAAGAGCCATGGAGGGGCAGGCCCACCGCTTCGCGGAGGGCGAGCTGGAGTCTACCCTGGAGGAGGACCGCGAGCGCTTCGGGAGGTGGTTGCGCGTCATGGCGGGGGACAGCGGCCTGCTTCTGCTGAGCACGCGGCTGCACCGCCTCATCAGAAGAAGAAAAAAACGCCATGAACATACAAGTTTCGCGCTCCGCGCGGATTTCTTGGATCCGCGCTGAGGCCCCCCGGCGGCGCCTCCGGCGCCGCCCCTAGCGCGCTCCGTGCGCCAGGGAGGGGCGTCCAGCGCAGATGCAAGAAACCCGCGCGGACCGCCAAAAGGTTCTGCTTCGGCCGCTTGTTCTTCTTCTGCTCGTTCGACGAAGGGAAACGGCAAGACCATAAGCTGCCAGAGCTCCGCGGCCCTCTTGGAGGCCTCTTGGGCCGTCTTGGAGGCCTCTTGAGGACCTCGTGTGCCGTCTTGGGCCATGCTGGAGCCATCTTGGGCCGTCTTGGTGGCCTCCTGGCCCGCCTGGCGCCATCGGAAGCCGTCTTGGGGGGCCTCTCTGGGCTGACTTGGGGCCCTCTTGGGGTGCTCCAGGGCCGCCTTGTCGGATCTGCTCTCCGGGCCCCCCTCGGCTGCGCCTCCGGCGCCGCCCCGTGGCGAGGCTCCGCGCGCCGAGGGCAGGGGCCCAGCGCCGACCCAAGACGTCCGCGCGGAGCTCCTGTCCTTCGGTCGGGCATGTCCCTCTGCAGGAGGAGGATTCACAACATCGAGACCAATTGCCCTAGCCAGCCCAACCAGCCAACCCAACCAACCAGCCACCCAAGCAACTCAACCGGCTCAACCAGCCCAACCAGCCACCCCGCAACCCCAGCCAACCCGCCACCCCGCCAACCCGCCCACCCCCGCCGCCTGCCCTCCGTCACCGTCGAGAGGGGGGGGAAGTGTTTCTTACAAGCGAAAACCACAAAAATCACCCTCCCGGGGTCCGGCGGGACAGCGGGGGGAGGGGAAATCGCGCCGTACTATGCGGGAGCGGGATTCGCGCCCGAGGTGCCCAAGGAGGATTTGGGGCCTCAAATGCGACACTGTCGTCACTTTACTACCTTTCACCGCGCTCCCCTTCTCAACGGAAAGGCTCCCATCCGTGAAACTGTCGTCATTTTTCAGCCCCCGCGAGAAGCTTCTTAGAGTCCCCCAGAGGCTCCAGGAGGGCCCATGGCGGCCTCGGGAGTGCCTAGGAGACCTCCAGAGGGCCCCAGGAGGACCCATTCTGCACCGCGCCCCCCTTCTCAACGGAAAGGCCCCCATGCGTGAAATTGTTTTCATCATTCCGCCCCCGCGAGAGAGTTCTTAGAGGGCCCACGGAGGCTCCAGGAGGGCCCATGGCGGCCCCGGGAGAGCCCACGAGATCCCCCCCCGAGGACCCATTTTGAATTACACTCAGGGAGCTCCAGAAGGCCCAGGAGGCTCCAAGAGGCCCCAAGAGGCCCCGAAGAGCCCAAACAGGCCACAGGACCCCCAGCACGCTCTAGGAGAGCCACGGCGACACCAAGAGGCTCCAGGACGGGCGTCATTCCCTCTCCTCCTCCTGCTCGTCGTCGTCATCCTTCTCCTCATCCGCCCTGCTTCAAATCCTTCCTTCCCCTCTTCTTCCTCCTTCTCCTCCTCCTCCGCCTCCTCCTCTTCCTTCTCCTCCTACCTCATCCGTAGCCTCGATGGCTCCGATAGCGCCGTGCGCGAGATCTGCCTCCTCCCCATCCGTCCTCCTCCCTCCTCCCTCCTCCTTCCCTCCTCCCTCCTCCCTCCTCCCCTCTCTCGGGAACGTCACAAAGAGGCCCTCCGAGGATAATTTCACGACAATAAGGGCGCCGACCCGATGAACAGACACCACGTCGGGGCTCTGGGAACGGAGTCGAAGACGAAACCTCGAATAACTTAGTCTTCGATGTTTGGGGCATTTTTCTGACCACCTGCGAGCCTTGTGGAAGTTTCCGAGAGCCTCAGGGGTGGACGTCTGGCGCAAGAACACGAGTGGAGGAGGAGACAACACGACGCTTGGTTTCTACCCCCGCGAGGGGCGCTACAGGGTAGTTATATATATATATATATATATATATATATATATATAAGCGCCTAGGAGGAGGATTCAAAAGTAGAAAAAAACAACATGTAAAAAAAGTCTGGGGAGCATGTTGGACTTATTTGTTGTATTTTAAATTGTTCGCCCAAAATCCCCCCTCAGGGGGACAAGCCCGACTTAATCCTACCCCAGACCCCCGACGTCGTGATTCTGTCCTGGCGTCGACCCCCCCCCGCAGGAGGTCTCGACCCCTTCCCTGGGACAGCGTCCTCCTCCCGAGTCGTGTTCTGCTGACGGCCCCGAGGCCGGGCGAGGTCCCCGAGGGAGGCCCCCCCCCTCAAAAAAAAAGGACGACCGCCCTCCCGCCGGGATGCTTGCCACGACGCGCCGGGGGGCCTGGGAGTGCTGGCTGTGCGCGCGGCCGCTTCTTCCTTCGGCGCGTGCAGTCCAGCCGCCGCGGCCAGACCCGCGCGGACTGCCCCGCGGAGCTTCGGGGAACAAAGAGTAGCATAGACATAAAAACTCGGAGGTCCGCGCGGATTTCCCGGATCGGCGCTGGGGCCCCCTCCCTCGGCGCGCGGAGCGCGCCAGGGCGGCGCCGCCCCGGCGCGCCCCGGCGGCGCCCCTGGCGCGCTCCGCGCGCCAGGGAGGGGGGTCCAGCGCCGGTCCGAGAAATCCGCGCGGACCTCAGAGTTTTTATGTCTATGCCACGCTTTGTTCCCCCAGGAGCTGAACCGCTCCGCGGCGCAGGCGGTCCGCGAGGCGCTGGCGCGCGAGGCGGGCCCGAGCCCGCGCTTCGCGTGCACGCTGCGCACGGAGCGCCTGCGGGCGGACGTCGCGGCCTGCGCCCTCGCCTGGGCGCGCGCCTGCGACGAGGACACGCGCGGCGCGATCCGCGAGGAGGAGAGGGCGGCAGAGATCGGCGGCGGGCCCCGGGCGGGGGCGAGGGAGAGAGGGGCGCGGGCCTCCTCGGACGGCTTGGGAGGCCCCCGGGCCTGCGGAGCCGAGCGGTGAGAGGTGCTCAGCGCCTCCCCCGAGGGCACGAAGAGCTCCTCGGGGGGCGCGCGAGGAGGGCGTCCTGAGAAGCCCCGCCGCCTTCTGGGAAGGCCTTTTCCTCAGTTCCCCCCCCTCCTTGCTCGCCGCCAAACAGCCCAGCGACCCCCGCGGAAGGAGACTCCCGTTGCGATGACTTTTTTTGGTAATAATGTTTGTTTTTCCTCCTCTTCCCTCCCTTCTCCTCCTCCTCCTCCTCCTCCTCCTCCTCCTCCTCCTCCTCCTCCCACCTCCCTCCTCCCCTCCTCCTCCTCCTCCTCCGCCTCCTCCTCCTCCTCTCTCCCCTCCTCCTCCTCCTCCTCCTCCTCCTCCTCCTCCTCCTCCTCCTCCTCCTCCTCCTCCTCCTCCTCCTCCTCCTCCTACCTCCCCTCTCCTCTCCCTCCTCCTCCTCCCTCTCCCTCCTCCCTCCTCCCTCCACCTCCTCCCCTCCTCCTCCTCCTCCTCCTCCTCCTCCTCCCCCTCCTCCCCTCCTCCTCCTCCTCCTCCTCCTCCTCCTCCTCCTCCTCCTAATCCTCCTCGCCACTGTCGCTCTCCCGGTGCCCGCCATCGCCGTGATCCTCCCCGCCCTCGCTGTCGGAGCTCCGCGCGAGCTCCCGGGTCGGCGCTGGCACCCCCCCTTCCTGGCACGCGGCGCCTCGCCTCGGGGCGGCGCATGGGCAGTCCTCTCCTCCTCCTCCTCCTCCTCCTCCTCCTCCTCCTCCTCCTCCTCCTCGCACCCCTTCCTGGCACGCGGCGCCTCGCCTCGGGGCGGCGCATGGGCAGGGGCTCCCAGCGCCGAGTCCAAGAGATCCGCGCGGAGCTCCGGCACAGGGCGACGAGATCTAGACGTAATTTTGAAAGGCCTTCTGCCCTGACCTTCCAGGAAGGCTAAAAAATAGCACCCGACCTAGAAACCTATCCCAGAGCTATTCTACGTCTTGGTTTTAGGCTGTTTCGTTTAGTTGTTTAGGTGTTTAGGTTTCCAGTGCTAAAAAATAGCTCTCTGGAAGGTCAGGGCGTCCCCCCCCCCAACCCAGACCCCCTCGGGCAATGAACAACTCACGACGGGAGGTGTTTCCTAATTGTCGGCCTCCGGGGGCCCTTGCCAGGCCTCGGGGCCATCAAAAAACGAGTCGGCATGAAAAATCGGTCCTGGGGATTGGGTCGAGAGTTCTGGGGTTCGACGCAATGAAACAATCATGACGTCGGGGTTCTGGGATAGGAGGCAACCGATTGTTTTTCGCAGCTGGGATCGCACCACTAAGTGGTACCCGATTTTTTTGCTCCGCGACACAGTCCGCGCAACAACGACGACGGGAGGGGGAAGGGGGGGGGGGAGGGGGAGGCGGGAAGAGGAGGGGGAAAATGGGAAGATTATGGGGAGGGGGAGGAGTAGGAGGAGGGGAGGAGGAAGGAGGAGGAGGTGGAGGAGGAGGAAGGAGGAGGAGGAAGGAGGAGGAGGATGATAGGGAAGGGGAGGAGGGGGCCCAGGAGCGCGCGAAGCGCGCTCCTCCCGGCTTCCTGGGCCGGGGGGCCCGGACACGCCGGCCCCTGGTCTCCGCCAGGGGCGGCGGCTCTGTGCAGAGCTCGTCGCTGCACGATTCTATATGTCGGGCAGGTCCCTCGCAGGGGAGTTTTGTTGAAACAATAATATATATATATATATATATATATATATATGTGTATATACAACTATATATATATATATATATATATATATATATATATATATGGTCGCCCCCTCACCCTATGATCATACAGATTCGCCTCTCGCGCGGCGCCGATCGATATCTTCTTTCGCTCTCCGTTTCCTTATCCTGTCCCGCCCTTCCTCTCCTCCTCTTCCTCCTCCTCTCTCCTCCTCAACCTCCTCCATCCTCCTCCACCTCCTCCTCCTCCTCCTCCTACTCCTCCTCCATATATATATCTATAAATATATATAATATATACATAAAGTGCCACGTTTCTTCCAAAGTCCGCCTGTTGGAGGACATGACATGCCCGACCGAGCCCCACGAGATAGGCAGGGGAGAGGGACGCAGAGATCATGGACAGAGGTCGGAGGAGATGTGCAGAGACGAGGCCCTCGATCGGTCTGCATGGGCCTCGGCGCCATCGGGCCGAGGGAACTAAGATGGAGGTCGCTTCGGGGAGGGTGCCCTGGCTGTCTTCGTGTGTGGATGGCGGTGCTCGTGCATCCTGGGGGAGGGCGCCCTCGAAGGAGCTCAAGTTTTAGGGGTGTCTGGGCCGGCGGAGAGGGTCTCACGCTCTTGGGGGATGTTCTCCTGGCCGGGGTCCGACTGCATTCAAAGAAGAAGAAACGGAATGAGCATAAACTTGTGGCGCTCTGCGCGGATTTCTCGGATCTGCGCTGGACTTCCCTTACCTGGCGCGCGGAGCGCGCCAGGGGTGGCGCCGCAGGCGCCGCCAGGGGGCCCCAGCGCGGATCCCAGAAATCCGCGCGGAGCGCCAAGAGTGTGTGTTATGCCGTTGTCTCTTCTTCGATGTATGCCTGTGCCGCCGTCTGTTCCTCCGGCGATGGAGGGGTACATCCGGCAGGGCCTGGCGGCGGACGGCTGGGCCCAGCCGCTGGACAACCGGAGCCTCAACGCCGGAAGCCACGCGGGCTGCCGCAGCTTCGTCGGCGAGCGCGACCAGGCGTTCATCTGGGCGCGCGAGGGCCACGTCGCGGAGGCCTACGGGTACCGGACGTGCTGCGCCTGAGGGCGGGGCCCTGCGGGGCGCGCGAGGGGCGGCGGCGGGGCAGGGAGACGAGCCAGCCGCCCGAGGAGGCCGAGGTGGGGGGGCGCCGGCGCGGAGCGAGGAGCCCGGCAGTCTGCCGCGCTGGCCCACCGCCTGGGCCGCAGGGGGAAGGGGCGTCAGAGAGCCGAGACCCCCGCGGGCAGTGACAAAAATCATGACGGGAGGTCTTTCGTTCTTTTCGGCTTCCAGGGGGCCTTGCTGGGCCTCGGGGCCGTCACAAAACGATTCAGGGTGAGAAACCGGTCCTAGGGAATGGGTCGAGAACTCTGGGGATCGACGTAATAAAAAAGTCATGACGTCGGGAGTTTGGGAGGGCTGCGGCTGCGGCGGCTGCAGCGGCTGCGCAGGCTGCGGCGGCTGAGTCGGCTGTGGCGGTCGCGTGCGGGGGAATGCCCTGGCAGATATCGAGCACACGGGCTCGCTGAGCAGATTCGCCGGCATTGGTTCGGCTCTCTGCAACCGACCGCAGGGCCACCCGCAGGGGCAGCGTGGGGGGGGGATAGGCGCAGGGGGGACGCATCGACACCCCGTCGCCCCTGCATCGCCGATGTGGGCCCGACAACAACTGCACCTCTGCCTCTGGGCGTGCGGCTTCGCCTCGGGAGGCTGTCGCCAGAAGATGTCGGCGACGCATCGCCGATTCCAGGTCGATGTCCCCCCCCCCCACCATGAGCCCGTGCCCACGCCGCCACCGCCAGAAGCAGAGCAAGGGAGGTCGTCGTCGGCCGCACATGCCGCACGCCGCACTGCCGCTCCTCCTCCTCCTCCTCCTCCTCCTCCTCCGCCTCCTCCTCCTCCGCCTCCTCTTGCTCCTCTTTCTCCTGTTCTTCCTCTTCCTCTTCCTCTTCCTCTTTTTCCTCCTCCTCCTCCTCCTCCTCTCCTCCTCCTCCTCCTCTCCTCCTCCTCCTCCTCCTCCTCCTCCTCCCTCCTCTCCTCCTCCCCCTCCTCACTCACTCACTCACTCACTCCGTCGCCGACAGCGGCGGCGGCTGCGGCGACGGCGGACGACGACGACGGCCGACGGCCGCACGGCCGACGGCCGACGGCCGTCCTCGCCGAGGGCCGGCGCCTGGCTCGTGTACCCGCGCGATGACGCCGTTGACGCCGAGGAGGTCGACTGGAGCTCCGTGCCTCCGCCCCAGCGGGCCGCCGTCGTCGATCGGGTCTCGCTGTCGGCAACACGGTCGTCCTCAGCGCCTCCACTCGCGGCTACCGGGCTCCCAGGCGCGAGTTCGCCCCCCGTCGTTTGGGGGGTTGGCCGCTCATCTGTATCGAGAAACCCCCAGATTGCATGAGCACAGTTTTTCGGAGGTCCGCGCGGATTTCGTGGACCGGCGCTGGCCCCCCCATCCCTCGGCGCCGGAGGCGCCGCAGGGTGCGCGCCGCCAGGTCCACGAAACCGCTCGGGCTTCCAAAAGTTTACGTTCATGTCCGTATGCGTTCCTCCTCCTCCTCCTCCTCCTCTCCTCCTCCTCCTCCTCTCTCCCTCCTCCCCTCCTCCATTTTATCCTCATCCTCCTCCTCCTCCTCCTCCTCCTCCTCCTCCTCCTCCAATCCTCCTTCCTCTCCTCCTCCTCATCCTCCATCTCCTCCTCCACTCCTCCCTCCTCCTCCTCCTCCTCCTCCTCCTCCTCCTTCCCCCCTCCTCCTCCCATCCTGCTCTCCTCCTCCTCCTCCTCCTCCTCCTCCTCCTCCTCCTCCATCGGCGATGCGTCGCCGATCCATCGGCGTCACCCCAACATACGAATACTAAGTGTGCGTCGCCCTCCCAGAGGCGACGCGCGCACCGAGAAATCTTATAGTATCTGCGTTGTGGCGGGCGCTTTCTGGCCACACCGCTCGGGAAGCCGATGCATTGCAGGATGGGTATACTATAACTATTTGATCGGGTCGGACGCGCAACTCCAAGGAGGACATATGGTACCAGTATGTCCAGAAGAAGGAAGAACCGCATAAACATATCTTTTTGGGTCTCCGCCCGGATTTCTTGGACCTGCGCTGGACCCCCCTCCCTGGCGCGTCGAGCGCGCCAGGGGCGGCGCCAGAGGCGCCGCCAGGGGGCCCAGCACGGATTCAAGAATTTCTCGCGGAGCGCCAAAAGGCTATGTTTATAGCGTTCTTGTTTTTCTTCTAATGTTCAGTCGGGCCTGTCCCTCTACAGGGGGAATATTCAAACATAGTCAAAAAATAGCCGGGGGATTTTTTCTGAATATTGTTGGACCAGTTTGGAGTATTTTTTATATTTTTCATTTATCGTCGACAATCCCCCTGTAGGGGCACGCGCCCGACTTGATTCTGGTGTCCTTGCGCGCCCAGGAATCTGCGCGTGCATCCGATCCGGAGCTGGGGCGGCACGCCCGCGGTTTCGGGGGTCTCACAGGGGGCCTGCGCTTCCAAGGTTTTTTCAAGGCTGGCGTTTCTCAAGGTTTCTGGAGGTCTCGTCGTCGTCGTCGTCGTCGTCGTCGTCGTCGTCGTCGTCGTCGTCGTCGTCGTCGTCGTCGTCGTCGTCGTCGTCGTCGTAGTCTTCACACCTGCGAGCCACGGCGGCGCGCCGCCGCCTGCGCCGCCCACCAGTGGGGGATGGGACTGTTTTCCACCACCACCATCGCAAGCTGGAGGTGGAGGAGGAGGAGGAGGAGGAGGAGGAGGAGGAGGAGGGAGGAGGAGGGGAAGTAGGAGGAGAGGGGAGGAGGGGGAGGAGGAGGGGGAAGAGGAGGAGATGAGGATGGAGGGGGAGGAGGGGGAAGGAGGAGGAGGAGGAGGAGGAGGAGGAGGAGGAGGAGGAGGAGGAGGTCTCGTCGTCGTCGTCGTCGTGGTCGTCGTCGTCGTCGTCGTCGTCGTCGTCGTCGTTGCGCCCGCCCCTTCGTGGAGCGAAAGTTCGAGGACCGCACGCCGCAGGTGCGCAGGGGCCGAGGCTCGGAGGCCCCGGGGCCGGCTGCCGAGGCTCGAGGTCGAGGCGTCCAAGGCCCCCCCGGGCCTCCGCGGGTCGTCGTCGTCGATTGATGGACGACGACGACGACGGCGCGAGTGCCCAGAGATCCAACGCAGTGACAAAATCAAGACGGAGGTTTTTCTCGAAGTTCGGCCCCGAGGGGGCCCTCGCCGGGCCTCGGGAGCGTCACAAAACGACTCAGGATGAAAAACCGGTCTTGGGGAATTGGTCGAGACCTCCGAGGACCGCATATTGAAAAAATCACGACATCGGATCTTTGGGAAGTGCGATCCTCGAGTCCTCGAGCGATGCCGATCGAAGGCACGAGGGTCGAGAGCAGGTCTTTTTGCAGGGCATCGAGGGGCTTTCTGCGGGGCATCGAGGGGGCCGCCGCGCCGCCTGGCGGCCATGGCCAGAGCACGCCCCGGGACAAGTCCAGGGGGCCGCTCGACTCCGTGCCCAGGAGGGCGCCAATGACCCAGATCGGCCGGCTATCCGAGGTCTCCAATCCGAGCGTCCTGCTTCGCTCTCGGCCTCTCCGGGGCCCGCTCTCGGGCCACAATCCGGCGGCAAGCGGGGGGGGGGAAGTGAGAAGAAGAAGGCCTTCTCAAAAGACAACAGAACTTTTCCAAACATTTTCTTTGAATAGAGGGCAATGGGTGACATCTGAAATGCTGTTTCGATGGGTTTCCGAGGCTCGAATCTACAGGTGAATCACGAGACGGACTGATTCTCGAGGTGCAAGAGCCCACATGGACTTCACCCCGAGCCGTGCACCCCGAGAAATTTCTCAGCTTTTCAGGGGCCCTCGCGCCTTCTGAGAGGTCTGCCCTGTCTTCGGAGAGGTCCCAGAGACCCCCTCGGCAGGCCGGGCGGCTCCCGAGACTTCCGAGAAGGGAAGGCCGGCCTCTTCTCGCTTCCCCCGCCCTCGCTCGCCGCTTTATGCGTGGCCACCAGACATCGGGAGCGGAAAAGAGGGGGGTGATGACTAGGGGGGGTGGATATCATGGCGGGGGCCATGCTATTTCCCCAGATTTCATGGCGCCTCTTCTTATTTCATGACGTCCCTGGCCCCCCCGCTGGGCCGCGCACATGCCGCCGGCCATGATTTGCACCCCCCCCTCTTGGACACCCCCCTCTTGGCCGCTCCCGGAGACATGGGCCTGGGACGACGGACCACTCCTGGGGAAGCCGTCGGGACCTCTGGGGGCGCGGATGGAAAACGACAGATCGGCGGCTGCCAGGGCAAAACTATACACCCACACCGGTCCTGGCCAGGCCCATCCTGGGCCAAGGGTCGGTGCACCGGTAGGTTTGTGTCGTGTCGACCGGCGGCGACCCCAGCGCGGGCGTGCAAGGTTGAACGCCACCCGTCGCCCAAAATCGGCCCATCGTTGAACGATCTGGCGTTTCGGAAACGGCCGATCGTTCAAGGTTGAGCGGTCTTCGCGGTGTCAGAAGCCAGCGCCGAAGTCTGCACGACACGGACCTGCCGTATACGCCCCGCCTGGCTTGGCCAGGAAGGCGTATACACACCGATCCTGGGCCCAGGATCGGCCTGGCTAGTATCGGCGAGAGCCGCCGGTGTAGATGTGACGCCCTCCGACATTCCCCCGCCTCATCCCCGCCGCTCGTCGTTGTAGGTTCATCGTCGTCGTCGTCGGCGCCATCGTCGCCGTTGGCGTCGCCGTCGTTGGGCGTCATCGTCGTCGTTGGCGTCGGGTCCGTCGTCGCCGCCGCCGCGGTCGGTCGCCGTCGGCCGTCGCCGTCGGCCGTCGTCGTAGTCGTCTTCGCTCGTCTTCGTCCTCGGCATCGTCGGCCGGTGGGGGTCGTCCTCGGCGTGGGAAGGGGAGAGGGAGGAGGAGGAGGAGCATCCAGAAGGGCATCGGAGCCTCGCTCGACGCCGCCCTCAGCTGCAAGGCCTCCAGGAAGCGGATCAGGGGGTCCAAGGGGTTCTGCACTGGGAGCTTCAAACAAGAACTCCGCCTGCCCGCAGGTGCCCCGCGAAAGCGTCTGATCCCCCGAGGGC